GTCCGCCGTGTGGATGCTCATTGCAGCCGGGCGGCCCGCGGGCCGCGCGTCACGTGATCAATCGGTCCGCGGCCCGGTCCATCGTGTGGATCCTGTGGCCCCGGTCCATCGTGTCGACGAGCTCCGTTTAACACAGTACCTTCCTTAGCGAAAGGGACCTTTGTGCGCCGTGTGAACACGATCTCCAGCTTCCTTTACACAGGTACCTGGGCTAAAGGTACCTTTACGCTACCGTGTGATTTGGGTATTAAAGGGATACTACAACGAAATTTCGGCGCATATTTTTTGGTCTGCGTGTTCAAAGGACCAGTATCACATTGGACACACCAATGTCTTGTTAAAAAAAAAAAAGACACGGAAGGTAATTCTTGAACGAATTAAACGATTAACAAACAGGGCCCGTTTGCTCGGAGCGCGGTTAAGCGCTAACCGCGGCTCAAGTTAGCCGCAGTATCTAGGAAGGGGAATTCGAAATCACGTGAGTGGCTCGGTAGGGATGCGGGGAGCCACGCATGGCCCCGTCGCTTCGTTTGACAAAATGGCTGCGGCGTTCGCGATCGCATTGGTGTTTGTCTTCAAGGCCCGTTTGCTCCAAGCCGGTTAACTTTAACCGTGGTTAAAAGTTCACCACCCTTCCCTGCTAGGTACCTAAAAGTACCTAGCCAAGTTTGACGAGGGCTGGATGAGCGATAGCTCAATGTTTTATTATAGGGTGATAGCTGGTGTCACCTACTGGCTGTAGCACATATAAGTGGCTTCCGTGGGAAAAGTTTCCATAAAGGGGAGCCCAACAACGCGCGCTACCGGGTTTTTGGGACGCACCGCGGCATACATTTGAGCGGACAAATCTTTTGTTGCTCGTGGTACAAGGATTGAGTAAGGTAAAACTAAATTCACCCTTGTTTGAAAAATTTCTAAATGCTTGGCTGTCTGAATTGAAGAGAAGCCTCGTTGAACGATAAGGAAAAAGTGAGTAGTAAAAGGTGGGCTGTACACCGGCAGCATGGTTGGCCAGTATGTAAGAACTGTATAATATAACACCATCATAAATTGAAAAACCTGTAATTCGGCTCTAGTGAAAATAGACCTATTAGTAAATTTCCCAAGCATCGAGGAGAACGCTGCAAGGGTAATTCTACGGTGCGCGAGCGCTAGCCTTCCTCTTATAAAAGATTCGAAGTAAATAATCATAATAACGCTTTGACGAACGCGCGTGCCAGGCAAATTTTGTTTTAGATTTTTTGCTTTAGAACAATTACTACTGCAGACGTCAGCAGGTGCAACGTCTGTAACTACACTCGTAGCATGCACCTCGGTGTTTGGGAAATTTAGCAAGAGGTCTATTGGGACGCTGTCTGCTTTTGTGTGCTATCAATACCCGGCCGAGTCAAGGCAATCCACTTTCCAAAGACGTTGCCATGCCGACAGTTATCGCGTTCATTTGGGCTTAGGAATGGCCAGAATCAAGACTATCTAAAAAAATGCGGCGAGGTCATTGCTCATGCTTTGCCATTTAAGTGAGGTAAGGCAAAGCGAAAGCCTTCTGCACCATTCATTGCTGACTAACGCGCCCATATTGCAGCTACAACATATTAGTTTTAAAGCGAGCGGCGCTCACTCGCCGGGGCACCCGTACCGAGCCAGTCACGTGATTTTAAACTCCCTCTCCTACTGCGACTAACTTTAGCCGCGGTTAGCGCTTAACCGCGCTTCGAGGAAACGGGCCCTGGTGGGTGTCGCTAAAGCCTCGTTTGTAATGCCCATTGACAGGTAGTGACGATAACTGTCTCGCCTCTATACGTGGCTTGCACATGACGTCACTTCCGATGACCTGCAGAGAAAGGGGGAAGAAGGAGCTCCCCTCTTATCAAAATCCTCCTTTGTGCCTCCTGGATTAGCAAAGACGTCGCTATTCTCCTCCCATAAGTTTATAGAAGATTAACCTGTCACTCAAAATTCTTACAAAAGCAGCTTCCCTCTCCTCCTTTTACATGGTGGGCAAAAGTGTGCGATGTGACGTCAGTGCAAAACTTGACGTCATCCCGACAGCTCTACGGCCAGCACAAGAGAAGAGGGGAGGGAGGAACTCCCCACTCAACCGGACTCTCTTTTGTGCGTCCCAGACGTCGCAATTCTCCCTCTACAAGATTATAGAAGATTAAAGGGATTGTCCGGTCGAAACCGGAAGTACTTAAGTTCTTGCGCTCGTTACGTCGAGGGAGCCTTTATATAGACAAACATCATTTTTATTTTGATATATGATCTCCCGTTATTAATTAAACCTTTCATGATCATCTGTACGAAACTGCACCCTGAATTTCGCCAGTGTCAATGGCTGACATTCGTAGGTGCTGCGTGACGTCACAAAACGCAAAGGTTTGTCGGATGGTCGGGATAACAAGCGTTGGTCGGTAGATATCTTGTATTTTGTTTCGGATTATATAGTCTCCTAGGCAGTACCCTACTGAAATACGGTTCTTTTAATGCAGTTCCTAAGCACGTGCAAAAAAAGTCGCGCCTTTTAGCAGGATATTACTCGCAGACAGCCATAAGCTTCGGGCAAACGTATGCCGTTTCGCGCAAACACAACTGCGACGGACGCCGATCGAACTAGGGGCGCTTTCAAAGCAAAGGATGCAGATTTCGCCTCTGAAGCGGCACCTAGGTACACGAAGCGGCATCTGGATACACATTTCGGCGGATCCACTGGATCGGTGATGAGGCTGTGGGTCATTCCCTCAGAGGCGACGTCCGCGAGTCGAAGGCAAACGGCGAACCGTTCAAATGCATGTCGGACTCGTCACTTGACTTGGACGAGCTTGGTGATTCGTAGCTACGCTCCATTTTCACACGCGGGTCAAACAGATATCGGGCTGCACGAGTGCTAAATACAACTTCTCGTATCATTTCGAGATGACCAAGCTGTTGGTTTCGGTTTCGCTGCGTAATCAAGGTCTGTTCGATTTGGCCAGGATGTTATGAACTATAGTCGGTTACAAGTCAAGAAGGTAGCGGCAAATGCCCTCAAAGGGAATCTTTGCATTTCGACGATAGGTTCGCGGCATCAGGATGATTTTCCGTCGGGAGTCACTGGCGGCAGCGCGCGGTCGGTATACCGGTCATCTCGAAGACGAAGGCCTGACGATAGCGTCTTGGCCAAGACAATTATCTACCGTAACTTTGGCTTCAAGTTGAAGCGAGAATCGGCAAAAAAAAAAAAAAAGCCGATTCTCGATGTTTTTCTTAGGCCCGTTAGTGGGCGTCCACAGATACCAGCGGACAAAGCATGCAGTATTATGCTCAGCTACGGGGACATGCGAGTGCCAACGCACTAAATCCCAGACCTCTACAATGTATCGGAGTCGTCAATATGCATCCAAGAGCAACTGAAGGCGGAGACTATCAAGAGGGCAATGTGGATCCCACATATAGCATCAAAAAGAAACAATTTACGTGAGCCAATATTTCAACACTCACCACAGGGAGCCAAACCTACGCGAGCAGGTGCCTAAAACGCTTTTAGAATATCATAATCAAGCAAACTCCCACCCTCAGTTAGGATCTCACTTCCGCGTCCACCACGGGTACGTTATTATCATAATTGAGAGGAAATGCAACCTCCGTATCGGCATTACTGTTAAAGATCGTAGACATTTGAGCAAGCGCTGCGAAAAATGGCACCGCGAGCAGAGACGGACGAGGAGTTCTGCTATCGCCGTCTGCTCTTGTCGTCTGCATCTGCACGGACGCTGAACAGAGTCCGGAGCCGGCGCAAGATTTTGAGGAACTGGGTCTGAACTCGTTCAGAACTGGGATGATTCGAACGAGCCAGCGCAGCGGTCGTGCAACTTACGGTTGAATCGAATGCACCAGTTCCTGCACTGCTGCACTAGTTCAGCCAGTTCAGGCGAATCGAAGAGACCTAAATTGACTGATCCGATTTGGGCGAGGAGTGGGTGGACGTAGTTTAATATCGTTGGCACAGCATCACACCTCAGCTTACGAGCCTTCTGTCCGCTGAGAGCTCAGCTCGTAGCTTTCTTCTGCGAGACGATTGCTGCATAAGCAGGATCTCGATCTGGACGGGAACCCAGTCCGTACGCACGACGACGATCCGCTTTGCTCGTCACTGCACGTCTCGCGGAAAAGTGTGGAACGTCATGTCTTGGCTCGCATGTGCTGCCCGGTGGTTGTGGCACCCAACCGCGCAACAAAAATCTCACCCAACCACGAAACAAGTCCAGCACAACAACAAAAACGAAGCACGCTGAAGCGTTCACTCGCAGGCAAACAACGAGACAAAAATGCTCGCTTTGTGTTTTGTGACGTCAGAGCTTCAATGTTGCCAACGAAAGCAGCGTTTACGCTAGAATGCGATATGAGCACTATAAATTCAATTACTCACGCAGAGGGGCATATAAAATTCGGATATTGCACGTACGATGCTTCTCGAGGCAATAACAATAATATTCAATTGTTTTCTCGAATACAAAATTTGACCGGACAATCCCTCTAACCCGTCACTCAAATTCACACAAAAGCAGCTTCGAAATTAGTTGCGGTGGCCCGATCGCTGGCGTGCTTCGAACGCTTCGGTAGCTGGAACGGCTAGGGCATCCTGACGACGTCAGCTTCGCCGCAGCTTTGCTCATCCCGAGACAGACTACGTCACGATTGCGCCGGATGTGACGTGCTCTTCACTGGCTGCTCTCCAAGAGCTTGCCAGAGAGGGCCATTTGTAACTAAAAATACAGTCATCAGGCTAAAAATACAAGCGCGCGATTGTCATGTATTCCTTTAGTTTAGTTATAGTTTATTTCTGAGGGCCGAAAAACCGGGTTTCATTTTCTCGATCGAACCCGGTAGTCTTCATTGATGCTCTAGTGCACCTGTAAGCGCACCAACGGCAGTTTTTATGAGATGTGAAGGTTTACAGAATGCCATTTATACTTTATTGTTGTTGCTTCTCGCTTTGACTGAACCTGTTGTCGCTTTCGCAGAGACGATCCGTGTTCAGGACCCGAAACAAGACATCCAACAAGATTACGAGCCCAACACTCTGGTGACTTGGTTGTTCGAGAACACCGCGAACAACTCGCTGCTCCACTTGGTCGTGCGGGGAGCAAGGCTGGAAGCCCTCCAAGGAGAGTTCCTCATCATCGGCTCCGGTATGCTGGAAGCGGCAAGATCGCTTTTTCTCGTTTTGTTTTAAAGCTGTCAATTCCTTTTAACAGACCCCCCTAAGGCCACGGGTCCGCTTGCTAGAAAGAGCGCTGAGCAGTCCCAAGTCGAGTTTTGACTCAAACGGCGAGCAGTCTCAGCTAAGACAGAGCGCGATGCGCCGGTTGAGTCACGTGCTCAAAGCGAAATCGGCGCAGTCTTATCCTAGTCCGAACTTGAGCTTGGTACTACAACGGCCCAAGGCTGTTTTCTGCCACGTAATTGCTAATTCTACAGCTTCTCACCATTTAGCAACCTCAGCGGTATGAACAATGCTTTTGACGCTGCAAAGGTGCGCGTCAATAATGACGCCACGGAATGAATGTCAGAGCCCTAATTCGCGTGATGAGCTTCTGCTCGCGATTTTTAATTGCAACGCCGTTCGGGCTACCAAAAGAGTGCAGACCGAGGCTGTGGTGCTCGACGTCCAAGCTCCAAATCGGAAGCAAAATTGAACCACGTAAATAAGAATAAAGCTCGAGGTACACGTAAGCGCTTCTTATCAGTTGTGAATGCGAAAGCATGCAAGCCGCTCGTCCGCTCCCTTTGTCGTCTGGTCGCCCGCTCCCTTTGTCGTCTGCTACGTACTAACGCGCGAGCGCTTCGGGATCTCGGAGGCCATGGCGCAGCGGCCAATGGGAGCCCCGTCGACGCGCGCCGCCAATGGAACCGAAGGCGAATCGCTCTATTGGGATCGCGGCGGAAACTAGGAACCGTTTTTGCGCTTCAAAGTGATGACGTCAGCTCGCTATATGAGACAGTTAATGGTTTCGCATTAATGACAATTCGGCGATTGTCACCAGCTGCAAAATATCAACATCTCCGTGTATCCACTGTTTACAACGAGCCAATGTATCCGAGACTCCCGTCAAAATTGCGAGTCTTTAGATGCCTACAATTGCCTATCACCGTACTTGTCGTGTCCACGGTGCGCATACACTTGGCGTGGTCTACGAGCCGCTGTCGTTTGAACGCGGAGATGGTCGTTTGAACATGCAGGCGGAAGTTTTAATGAGAAGATGCAACGTGGTATGGCTGGTCCGAACCACTGGGCGACTCTCCCGAATTCGTGTTAAAATAATCTAAATCAACCTTACGCCTACAAGTGTCCCTGAATTTACTCCAAAGTGATTCCGTCACAGACGGTCGTGGTCGGACGGCGTCTATATTCCCTTTCAACTTCCGTCCGGGCGCAGCGGATGTTATGAGCCATTAGAGCCAATCCATGACTGTGCGAGTTTCCCATGACCTTTGAAAAGAAGCGTAGTCATGTGCTGTGTTCACAGAACTAATTTGGTTGGGTCGGCTCGTAGCCTCCGCTTCGGCTGGACGTAAGATTGATGGACTGACTCCAGCGTCCGAACAGCCTAGTGGCCTGAGCAGCAGTACACCGTCAACAAGTAATAAATATATCGAGTAATATCAAACAACACTATATTCGTAAAAAAAAAGCAATATATGCTTGTTGCAGGCGTGTTATAGGGCAGATGGACTGCGTGCACACCGGAATAAAAAGTGTCTCGGTGCTTGAATGTCCGAAAAAAAAAAAAGAAAAAAAAAACGGAGAATAGTTTTCCTTTTTTCGTGGCACCTGTATCTACGTTGTCCTTGGATGTCCGTTTCATGTCCGGAGATGAAACGGAGTGTGCTTTTCCCTTTTTCGTGGCACCTATAACCGCGTTCTCGGACGGGTATGACCGGCAGGAAACACGTGAAAGCTGGTCTTGACAGCTTTCTCGGCTTTTGTGTTGCAACCCCAATCGCGGCGTTTTGGCGAGAAGGCAGATTTCTACCCAGACAACGTAGCAATGCCCAGAGCGGATGTGAGCCAGAAGCACCACCGCCGCGGCGTAGCGAAATTGAGTTGAGTCGATGTATACTCACCAAGGATCGAGGCCGCAACATCTCGGTATCCAGCCCGATGTTCTACCTCGACGTCAGCTCGATGGCTTTCTGCATGCACCGGCTAAGGTGTATGCACTACGTCTCCTACATACTACAGTTACCGCCAATACTATTCTTACTACTTGGCGGCGTTGTAGGGCAAGGTGAAGTCAGTTAATCAAGATTATCTTCTTCGCTCACCGAAACAACTAGAACGTCTTCTTGACAAATTAGAACGAACACTCATTAAATGCAGCAATTCATGCATCACGTAACAATGAAGATAAGGGTCGCTGATATTGTTTGTGCGTTCCTTCCTCCGTGTGCTGATGCAGCAAAAGATGGTGGTTTCGGTGCCACGCTGCCGCACGAATTGACGCTATGGTCATGACGTCTCGTGCTGCGCAGGCGACGCTTCGGAGCTCCTGGAGAGCTCTCGGGCAGCGGTGCTCACGAGAAGCGTCGATCCCGGAACGCAGCTCCAGTTCCGAGTGAATGGTCCCGACGCGTACGTCATCCTCTTCATGGGAGACCGCCCGGGCAAAGAAGGCCCCCGTGCCACGGAAGACAAGTCCCTCTACCTGGAGTGGTCGCGAACCGGTACGGGCAAACATATTTTTGCATGCGGCTTATTATCAACGCCTTTTATGGATTGGCACGCTAATGCATTCGGGGACTGAATTTCATCCGAAAAACGTTTCGCTTAAGCTTAACTAGAACACGCCTGCCAAGGAAACAAAAGAATACATACAGCAGGCAATGCATAAGCACACGAAGCGCATAGAAGCATACTCAGTTTCGTGCACACGTGTACAACTTACTAAACAAGTCTTAATGAGTATCGGCGTTAAAGGAGTTTGAGGAAAGCAGAAATTACTAAATTCCAAAGTAATTGAGTAAATTACTAAATACTGTAAAAATTATCGAATCACTTTTGAAGTTTCTTTTTTTTTTTTAAATATATTTTAGCAAAAAAATTACGCGTTTTATCCGTTAACAAAGTCTCGTTAGCCTAAGAGAAAGACGACCACTTTGCCTGAAGGTTCTGTTTCTGCTTACCTTTGTGTGTGTGTGTGTGTGTGTGTCTTTTTAGGAATAGGAAGAGTTTGTTCTTAAACTTTCTATGTACATTGTGGGTGTATGTTGTTTCTACTTTGAAGTTTAGGTCTGTTTGCGCTTAGCTTTGCAGACTTTTCTTTTAATTCGAAGCTTTTGAGACTTGCGCATCATAAGTTCGACAAGGCAAGGTTAACCCAAAGAGATCATCTGGATCTCAAGCGAGGCAACCGGCTCGTTCCCTTCGGTTTCCCTCCTCTCCCCTCCTACCCCCAACTCTTTCTCTAACACTGCTTTTCTAACAGGAGCTCCCAGTCCGTCCTTTCTCTCACGCGTTTTCCCTAGAGAAAAACAAAAACCTCAAAATTCACTTTAAAAAAAATAAAAAAGGAAGGTAGCACGCAATTTTTCAAGTACCAGACGGTGCGATCCGCAACTGGAAGTGACATTTATTGCATAGCGGAAATTTTAAAGATGTAGAGAGAGCGAACGCTACCTTGCGATTGTCAAGGGTTGGTATGAAAACGGGGTTTTAAGGCGACTTCAAAAAAGTTAAAAATTATAATTTTTTTTTTATGCGCGCACTTTTTGTGTTTTTGAGCTTTGGGGCACGAATAAACCTCCAGCACTAATCTCGCGGTGACTCAGGCCCACTTGATAACACACTTCCAGAGCAACTTCGAGTTCCGCGTCCGGTTCCAACTAACGTTCAGACCCTGAAAAGTCAGCTTTCTCTCTCGAGTCTATTCCTTCTTTGAGAGTACCAGCTGGCCTTGCGATCTTTTCTTTCTTTTCTTTTTGTGGGCGCGAAAATGTTTGTTGATAATAAACAAAATCTACTACATTTTGAAAGTAATTTGTAATTTAAGTAGAAATTACTCAGAAAAAGTATTTAAAATGAACTGCTAATTACCGAAATAAAAATGTAATTGAATGTTGCTAAATAGTTGAACTCCGGTAAATTGAGTATGTACAAGTCTGGTTTTGTGCATTTTCCCAAGCGGTGAAGAAAGAATCGAACCCGATTCCTTTGTTCGGCGCCAAGGTGAGGAAGCGATCGGGATGGCTCAAGGGCGCCTGCGACAGCAGGCGACATTTGGTGCGCGCAGCTCGCTTCCAAATGACGAACCACGATTTGTCACAATGTTGCCGGTCCTGATCGATTTTTCTGATAAACCTCGAAAGTAGTGTGTGCAAAGAATCCGAAACAACCCAAAGCATTACGTAACAAAACATAACCGATCACAACGCACGTATAACGCATGCACTGCACATTCTGTGCTCCTCGGGTTTATCCAAATCATCGAGAAACATTTTGATATCTTATTAACATCAATTGAGCGCATGGGCAGGGCTCGGTGCCCGCATCTTATTCTCTAGCAATGTAGTCAGACGTCTGAAGTTAAAGCAAGTGGGCAGGCGAGCTGGTTTAGGATAGACTAAGCAACCCTGGAGCGAGTGGACAAAGAAAGGACGGACAGACGGACAGACACGAAACTCGAAGTTACGTGCCTGTCCGTCCCTTTTCGTCCCCTCGCTCCAGGGTTACTATGTCTATAGAAATACGTTCGATATAATACCGAGTAATTTTTTACTGTCCAGTTGACATTAAAATAACCCGAGAAGTCTTCGATGTTAGAGCGACGTCGGGACCCATAAAATACGCGTTCTGACGAAATGTCGAGGCTGTACGACCAGTCGCAGATTACTCTGGTCTGGTTTGAACTGCAAACACTATTTCGAGATTCGGACTTGTATCAGACGTACTTGTCGAATGCATGTTTATGTTCAAAGTGTGTCTCGGTAATTTGATTGTTTGTCTTAATTGTTCTAGACATCGGAGGTGAGCAGAAGGAGCCACGGCCGTTAAACAACATATCGGAGAAGAGTAAATCACTGTGGAAGGAGGCAGTGCTCCTGTGTGTGGACGTGGTGAGTTTGCGTCGAGGAGGCGCCCTCCTTGAGAGGCGCATTCTTTATCCTGCACTTTTTTGATTCCTGCTCGAAAGGTCTTGATGAGTCACTCGCAGACTCAACTCATGTTGCCGGGACGACCGACCACTTTGTTTGTTTGTATCCGGACAACTGTGGTCTAGGAGTTCATCCCAGAGGAGGCAATACCCTAGACGGTGAAAGGCGAAGAATGCGGTCCCGCCTCCATCCTGCGCTCTTTGCCTTCCGCCGTGCTTTTGCTACGCTGGCGACGGAGTCTTATCAAAGGCAGAAAGCTCACGCTAGAGGCGGACCATCTGCCGCACTCTCACCGCCTCTATTGATAGCAGGGTTTTCCATCTGACCTACAAGCGTCCAGCATAGACACTGGTCGAAAGGTCAACTTTGAGGCTTTTCACCGAACAACGTTGGGTCCTGTACAACCTGGGCCCTGCTCTGTCCACGTGACACACACAATTCAGTTTTACTATCAGAAGCTGTAGGTATGCTAGTTGGTATAATATATCATGTCATATCATGGCATTGTGACAGCGCTTGGTTTTTGTGTGTTCCTTATCCTTTGTGCGCTGTTACGTGCAACATGCTACCTACCAGAAGTTGATCGGCAACACCGCCTAGACACAGGACCGCACTGCTGCGCGTAAAAAATCCAGCACTGCGGCCATGTTATCTTTTTTTTTTTTTTTTTTAATGCGATAGCGTTTATGAAATTGTGCCGCAAAAAATCCGGCGTCGGCGTCGGTGGGACCATGAAATCACATAATGCAACGCGCGCGACCACGTGTGACGTCTCGCGTGCGACGTCACACGTGGCTGTGATTCCATGACCCTATCAACCCGCTAAATTTGGAGGAAAAATTTTCGTATAAATCTCGCGGAAAATTTTCTAGCCTATGTTAGCAAAAAAGTTTCCCGCAAAGTTTGGCCGACAATTTTCTGCTAAGTTTAGCTGGTCAATAGGGCCATGACGTCACGTGACACGTGACGCTACAGACTAGACCCCGCATACACGCTTGCACGGCTTGAGAACGAGCGGGGGTTTATATGAGAAGGCTTTGCGAACGGGGCCCGGTAACGTTCCACTTTTAAAGGCGAAGCTTAGAGGGATGCGGAAACAAAATTCTGGAGCTCATTTCTTTGCTTCAGCATGACGTAGGTATCAGTAGAACCTCAGAAACATTAATATTTCGTTGGAAAATGCAACAAAACACATTTTAGACGGAAATAAACGCAAAGGAAAAAAATTCGTTGGTTAGGATTTATAAGGTTCCGCGTTTTCGGATAAATCCGAGAAACTCCCCAAAAACAGCCGCCGGTAAAATGTTGGTCAATATCGGCTTTATCCGAGAAACTCCGAATTTCGGAGTTACCTCCAACCCCAACTCTCCCCCCCCCCCCCTTTCCTTTTTTTAAATTTTATAAAGATTTTATGGGTTGCATTAAAACTACTAGTATGTTGGCAATTGCTCATTCGAAACATAAACATATAAAAGATTGACGCAGGTCAACCCCTTTTCTAAATAAAGTGGGAAAAATCGCTTCGCGATAACGGTGTTGCACAGTGCAAGGCCTGCGTGAGAAGTGTCTAAACTCTCGTAGCACTACCGCTATTGAATCATAACGACCACTTAACCTAAATATTTAATTCTATGTGAGCCTTTCTCTGTGTCTGTCAAGAGACTGTTGAACTCCTTTCCGAACCCGCACAGATGTGGGCGAGCTTTTCTCCGGTGAACTTTTCTCCAAGATTCATACTACAAACCATACATTTCAGTATCTAGTCATGTTCCCTGACGACTGTAGAGCTTGGAAAATAGGGCAGGACGCTTTAATTAAAACTAATATGCACGTGAATTTATACACTGCAGGCCTTATTATTCACTCAATTGATGGCAGAGGGATGTCTTCCCTCTGACTGGAAGGTAGGAAAGGTTATCCCAGTATTCAAGGACGGTGGTCGTTCGGTGTCCTCGAACTACAGACCCACATCGTTAACTCGTATTCCGTCCAAACTTCTTGCACATATAATTTCTACTCATGTCATTCCTCATCTTAATGAAAGCCGCTTCTTTTTTGATCATCAACACGACTTCTGGAGAGGCTTTTCTTGCGAAACCCACTTACTAGAATTCACCCACGAAATACATGCAATCTTCGAAGCTCATCTTCAGACCGACGAGATATTTTTAGATTTCTCGAAGGCCTTTGATCGGGTTCCGCACTTTCATTTACTAACAAAGCTCTCCGTTAACGATAGCGTCATTTAATGGATTCACAATTTTTTTGTCTTCCCGGGTACAGTTTTCAGCCGTAAACAACCTAGAATGTGGCTTATACAACGTTGCGTCTGGAGTTCCCCAAGGCTCGGTTCTCCAAGGCTCGGTTCTCGGCCCTCGACTTTTCCTCATTTTTATCAAACATCTTCCTCACACCATTTGTTTCCTCAAGTGCGTCTTTTCACAGATGACTGTGTGTTGTACCGCCAAATCAATTCACCTGATGACCACCTCCTCTTACAGAATCACTTAGCGACCATAATGAATTGGTGCTCCGACTGGCTTATGTTTCTGAGCTACTCAAAATGCAAGCTCGTCCATTTCACCCGCAAGCGCTCCATTTCATCATGCACACTTTTTTCTGGCGCTCAACCCATTGAAGCTGTCTCATGATATAAGTATCTTGGTGTGCACCTTGAATCTGACTTATCATGGACCTGAACACATCAAATCCATTACACTCGCCGCTTGAAAAACGCAGGGTTACATCAGGCGTTGCTTTCACTCTACTCCGCCGACTCTTCGCCAATTAGCATATCAAACATTCGTGCGACCAAAGCTTGTATACGTCGCTGCCCTATGGAGCCTTCATCAAACTTGCCTTGTCCCCCAGCTTGAAGCCATTCAAAATCGTGCCGCTTGCTACATCCTCTCTAAATACGATCGCACCGAAAGCGTGACGGCTATGAAGTCCCATTTGGGCCTAGCTTCATTAGTCACGCGCCGTAAATGTTCACGACTCTGCCTTTTTCATAAAATATACCACTATCATCCGGACATCAAAGCAAATCTCATTGCAACCTTCTCCCTGGTCTTCCCGCAGATTAACAACCAAAACTATGTGCAACGGATCTCTGGATCAACTAACGCATTTATTTACTCATATTTTTCACTAGCGATTTCCGAATCGAACTCTCTATTGGAGAACTTAGCCTCGACCATGTGCCCTGACGCATTCCGCGCTTGTTTAGTGTTGCATCTCGGAGAGCAGTTATTTGCCTGTGTGTGTTTTTCTTTTTTCTATGCTCCATGTTTGCAGTAATTGATTGTGCATGAGTGCGTGTTACTGATCAATTGTGTTTATATTTGCTTTGTTTAAACCTCTTGCGCGTATTTTTGCTTCTTTTTTTTTTAGCTCAGTGTTTTTTTATTGTGACTCAAATGTGAACGATCCCTTATGTAATGTCCTCGAATGAGGACCTTCAGAGGGTAAATCAATGAAATGAAATGATAGATGTGCATAAACGTTCGAGTATGATGCTATACATAAATTCCACGTAAGACTTGTATGAAACGGCTAGAAATAATACATATGCACAAATGCACTGAAAATAAGAGATACTATATAAGAACAACAAGGTTTTAATGCAGTGTTTCCGCCTTCAGGCTGTCAATGCGACGGGTGCGGTCGTCCAGCAGCTAAGTGTACCTCACTGTTGCAGTGGGCATGTTTCTTTTATTTTTCGCTCGCAAACGCTCTGCCGCCTTCAGCCTATGAGATCTTCATCTCATCAATGTCAAAGTGATGGCGAATCGGGAATCCCAGTCTTGATTAGATCATTAAAGGCGAACGCAGTGCTCCACAAATTGTTACCTGAAATTCTAAAATTTTTCCTTGTAGCAAAAAAAAAAAAAAAAAAAAAAAAGTGATTAAGAAGGCACACATTTTCAATGGGAAACGTAGAAAAAGTCGTTGGCACATGCGTGCTCTTTAGACGACTCAGCAGTATGCAGATATCGGTTGGGTTATTATTAAACTACTTTGCAACAAACCCAATGAAACGTTGCTTTGTTCCTTCTCTTGCATGCATACGAAACCCGTCGTGAAGCAGGATCGCTCCACCTCTCCGTTCTAATCCCCTCCATGTTCGGGAAACAAGTCCGATTTCGAAAATTGTAGTTCTCAATTTTCCCCAACATTTGCCGTTCGGGACCGAAACCAACGTTTGCTTCAGTCTCTTCACCCTCGATCAACGATGCTGACCCTGTAGGGGCCTTGCCAGGCTGACCCGGACAGAACAAAACATTTCTAGGGGACGAACTAGGGTGCCTACATGTTTAGGCCGCTCCGCAAGCGGAGCGGAAACATGTAGGCACCCTAGGACGAACCATTGGGTGACGGGTAGCCACCGTGACGAATCATCCTATGGCCAACCTTCTGCTGTGACGAACGGGCCTGTTACCTGTCGCCTTGTGACGAATCGCCATGTGTCGAATGGACCGCATCCCACTTTTAACCACCTGCATGACATTCTTAGCACGGAAGCGCCAGTGTAGTACAAAGATGTATGTTTCCTTTATGAGAGCGCAGCTCTAACCGCTCATTCACACTGGAAGCGGATCCGCGTTCGCAAAGCGGTTGCGAACGCGGTTGTATAAAGATCCAGTACAATTGCACGCGCACATGATGTCATCGAGTGCGCGTGCAATTGCACTGGATCTTTATACAACCGCGTTCGCAACCGCTTTGCGAACGCGGATTCGCTTCCAGTGTGAATGAGCGGTAAAGCGCGATCCAAACCAACGCTTCTTTTTGCGCCTGTAGGTCGTGCGGCTGCGGATGTGACGCATTTTCGTGACGTCGCGCCGCTTCTTCGCTCCTTCCGGGCGCGCACATGACTTCTTCTCAACGCGCACAAAAACGCGCGGTGACGTAGTAGGACGCTCCTGTGTCCCGGCCAATTGGTGGAGGGCAAGCTAGTTCCGGCTCCGCGTTTCTCGCCGTCTGGCTGCCCTCTCCTTCCCCCTTTTATTCTCTTCCAACATGACAACGCGATCTCTCTCTCTCTCTCTCTTTCTCTCGCCGTCTGGCCGGCCAGTCTGTCGCAGTTGCACTTTGCTTGTGCGCTCGTGCCTGCGTGCGCGCTTGCCTGAAGTTTCGCCCGTCCAAACCAAAGCGCACGGTTCTGACTCAGAAAGCGCGCCCGGAAACAACAAAAACGCCACTAAATGCGTCACATCCGCAGCCGCACGACCTACAGGCGCTAAAAGAAGCGTTGGTTTGGATCGCGCTTAAGGGCGCCCGTTTGCGGCTTCAGCGGCGTCGCCGTGGGCGTAACTGCGTGCGTTGCATTATGGAAATAATACAACCGGGCGTTTCGTTATGGAAAATTTCCCCACTAAATTTAGCGGAAAAACTTACGCGCTAGATTTAGCGGAAAAATTTTTCGCTAAACTTAGCGAAAACATTTCTCCGCTAGCGGAACAAATTTCCTGCTAAACTTAGCGGAAAAATTTTCCCCTCGAAATTTAGCGGACAAATTGCCCACTAAATTTAGCGGAATCTTTTCCCGTTAAATGGGAGGGAAGGGTACGAAGGGGGAGGAGGGGCATACCCTCCATTCCATACCCTCCGCCATCTCCACCTCAAAGGCTGCGCTCTTATTCGGCAAAACAGAGAATTGTAAACGTCGGCGTCGCCGTCGGCATAACCCCGCTAAATTTAGCGGGAAAATTCACATCACGTGGCCTCCACACCAATTCGATTCTCTGCTAAGTTTAGCGGGGAAATTGAGTTTCTCCGTTAGATTTAGCGGACAAATTGAGTTTCTCCGCTAGATTTAGCGGGAAAATTCACGTCACGTGACCTCAACACCAATATTCAATTCCCCGATTTGAGCGGAGAATTGAATTGGTGTTGAGATCACGTAACGTCAATTTTCCCGCTAAACCTAGCGGAGAAACTGATTTCGTTTATAGGTGACGTGACACCAAGTCATATGCCGTAATTTTCCCCGCTACATTTAGCTGTAAAACTGAATTGGAGGAGGAGGGGAGAAATGGATGGAGGAGGAAGAGGAGCAGGAGACGAGGAGGGGAGGAGGAGAGGGTACAGAGGAGGAGGAGGGGCACACCCTCCCGTCTGTACCTTCCACTCCTCCTCCTCAAGAGCTGAGCTCTAATTTCGCATTACGGTTTTTTTCATTACCCATTACGCACTACGCATTTACGCATTACGCATTACGCATTACGGAGATTTGTAAACGTCTTTCATTTTTTCTTTCTAGCACAGCACTGATGACTCCGTCTGGAAAGCTACCAAGGCTGCGATTCAACAAACATTCGCGGAAGCCGCCAACAACTACGTGAAACACCTGCCCAATGTTCCGGACCAGAAAATTGAGTGAGTTCGGTTCCACTGGCAACTGGCAAGGAATAGGATAGTAAAGAAAGCGCAGGCAAGCTAGTGAATTAACTACATAGTTTAATTAACTCCGAGACTGGGAACACATTACAAAAAAAATTCGGCAGAGACATTTAAGACTGCTTACGTGTAGGCATGTGAAAGCATTCGTACACGCAGCGCATTCCTACAAGCAGCACGCCACGTCTTCCTTTTTCACACGACTCTCTGGCGGTGACACCACGCTGCCCCACTGCGCAGGCGCGGTGAACCTTGCCGGCTTCACGACTGCTTCCGTGACGAGCATCTTTGTTAATTGCTGAGCTTTTCTTTGTGTTTTATTTCTGAGGCGCGTCCACTTTGACCTTAAGCGCCCCCGCCGCCTTCCCTGACGAAGCGTCTGCGTTGCTCTGCTTTTCTTTATGTTTTATTTCCGAGGCGCGTTCGCTTTGACCTTGTGCGGCGCGTGCTTGATGACGTATTTTTATGACCATCCTTCGGGCACAGCGCCGAGCCGCCGACACCTTCACGCGTTATAGGACAAGTAAGGCGTGCCTTAAAAACGTCCAAGAACATTCACCATTTCAAGACGCATCTACTGATTCCATTGTACATCGTCATATTTAACCATCATCCACTCACCCTGAAGGTTGCGAACCTCCTGACCACAAATTAACGAGGAACAACATCCATTGACACAGGGTGACCCCAAACCACAGGCGTGACCAATTAAGGAATAAACCTCCACAACACTGACCTTTCACTGACCCCTTTAGTTATCCTCAGAAACCTTTTCATTTCTTTATTCAGCGGTAAGGACGGCTGACTCACACAGTTCATATAGCCAACAATCCCCAGTTTCTTCCACATGACGTCTATTACATTCTTTTTTAGGACACTATGGTGTTATAGTGATGACTAAAGGGGTTTAGTGAAAGCTCAGCTCATTCCTTAGTTGGTCATGTTTGTGGTTTGGGGTTACCCCGTGTTAGTTGTGTCCACCATCGAAAAGGGTGTAGCTGTGTTTCCTGTAAGCAATGTGGCTGCAGAATGAGGTGTAATGGTACGGCACCATGACAGAACAGCACACGACAAAACAGCACGCGACAAAACAGCACGGTCAAAACATCACGCGTCAAAACAGCACAGCGTCAAAACAGCACGGCGACAAAACAGCACTCGTCAAAATAGCACGCGACAAAATAGCACAGTGGCAAAACAGCACAGCGACAAGACAGCACAGCGTCCAAAAAAAGGTGTTCCGGAAATTATTGCGGTAAATATTTGTAGACTCATAAACGTCTCGGTTCTTTTCGGTTTATTGACGAAAATCAGTATACTGACGAAAATGTAATATTTAAAAGCTTTTGTTTGAAATGTAAAGTGAGTTAAGAAGGTACTGTTTTTTTTTTATTTGTTACTGTGTGTGGCAGTCTACGCGACCTTTTCAGCAAGACGGACTGGGGTCCTATCGTGATCTGACATTATCGTCGTGTGCGCGTAGTTGTACACAGGACGAGCATGAGCTTCACTAGCACTTCGGTCGGAGAGGCAAGTATCAAAATCCAGAAATTTGCAAGCATTGTACTCAGTGCGATTTTCCCCATTTTTGACGACTGCGAGAGCTGGTAAATTCGCGCCGACCACAGAAACGGCAAAAAACAAAAATCGTATTTACGCTCTCCTTTAGTAGACGGAAGCTAGTGTTAGGGGGATCGGTGGCCGAGTGGGCTGAAGCGCACACCCAGCTCGACGCGCGTGGAGCGAAAGCTCGCGCTGCCGAACCCAGGGATCCTGGGTTCGAGCCCCACCCCTGCCCGTTTCGATCTGGATGAGCATCGTACCGGCGTGCGGTCGTGTATCACTACTGCGTGGTGCACGTTAAAGACCCCAGGCTAGCGGTTGTACCGCACTGGCTAAATTGCTCATCTACAGTGTAAACCAGTGTCGCCCCTACTGGCAGACCAACCTTACGCTGTATAAATCACTCAAACGTCCAATTTGACTTTGACTTTGAAGCTAGTGTTGTTAAAAAATCAGCGGCTTTTATACGGACGCTTTTGATTTGCATTGTCCAGTACACGATTAGGTTTTCTTTGAACAAAGAATTTGGCACACAAATCCCTATCAGGTCAAAAATCCAGATTTCATCCTGAAGACCCCTGCGGCCCCTGAGCTTTTGTTGAAGGTTGAACCGACCTCGGAGACAAGCTGAAAACTGCGAAAGGAAGTGGTTATATAGTCAGGAATGAATCACCCCCCCCCCCCCCCCCCTCCAAACGCCCTCAAAAATACTGACCTGTTTCAATTAATACTGACCTTTTCTTTTCTGCTGACTATAAACGACACGGAAAAATCCGACAAACGTACCAACAAGAGCTTCGCTGAAGGAAGTTCGAGCAATTGCATTCTTTTGTTAAAGCTTTCCGCCTGTCACCTTACGGGAATGCTTTATGCTGGATGCCGATCGGTAACTCCTGTTGTGATAAAAATCGTGGTCCACTACCAACTGCCGTGCCTCCCCAAACTGTGGGTCTGACAGATCCAGTGGGGGATCGCGAAGCAATTTCTGTTGTCATATTTTTTTAGGGATTTAAGTTTAGCCATCTTTAGCATACATTTTATTATGTGGACTGATACTAGTACTCATCATTGTAACTGACTTTTGTAACTTCGTGAAAAGCCCAAGGAAAAATGGTGACGCGATTTTTTTTTTTTTTTTTTTGGGGGGGGGGGGGGAGGGGGGGGGGAGGGGTGTTCTGGGTTGCGGAGTTTGGTAAGCTCAGAAATGGGCAATAAAGTTCTCTATAACCTAGCGACAATAAATGAAAACGTGAAGGAGGTTCGCTGTTATTCGCTCAGATGGAGGTGAAGAACGCGCTTGAAGTTGCTACATGCGTGCTCTTTTGTATCTGTGCTGTTTTGACGCCGTGCTGTTTTGGCACGTGCTCTTCTGTCGCTGTGCCGTTTTGCCGTTGTGCTGTTTTGTCGCGTGCTATTTTGACGCGTGCTGTTTTGTCGCTGTGCTGTTTTGACGCTGTGCTGTTTTGACGCGTGCTGTTTTGACCGTGCTGTTTTGTCGCGTGCTGTTTTGTCGTGTGCTGTTCTGTCGCGTTCCCGTAATGGTACACCATTAAATCGGGTGTATCTGGGTTCCCATTGAATGGGGTGGGTGCAAAAAGCGGTCTAATGGTAAATCCTGTTGGACGGAGTACCCCCGAGGAAATGTGTTAGTGTGAAGAAGGGAATACTTGTACACCTTAAATTTGGGTGCACAGTCGGCAGTAAAAGTTTGCGGGGCACGAGAGCGCCATCCGAAAAGTCTGGCTGTGCCTTCTCGTGACGCCTTGGCGCTCTCAAGACTCACGCTTTGAGCATGCGCATCCTTTCTTGTTCGCGGTAATGTTTTGTTTCGCTCGCTTTTGTTCGACGCCCACGAGATAACAGGGACTGGCACAAGGTGCCGATTTGCAGCATGTGCGAGCTCCGTCACCCATCACGATGGCCGAGGAAGATACGCGGCATGATTGCAGAAATAGTCCAAAAGCCGGGAAATGTCATGATTAAAATAAAGAATCCGACTTCACATCACAGAAAAGACAACTTCAATAAACGTTTCGCTTCCCATACGGGAGGCATCATCAGTACATACACAGAAATGAGAAAGTGACTGGTGCGCGACCGAAAAGATCCGCCTGGTCGCGCACCAGTCACCTAGCTGTGTTTGTCTTAATTGTTCCCCTTGTGCCCCTTCTCCATACAATATTTTCGTCATTCTTGTCCAGCTTGCTTGGACATTCGCATTGAATAGCATTGTCATCATAGCCTTAAAAATGCAAGCCGTTCACAATTGTTGGTGTTCAACTGGTGGCAGCTGGTAAAACCCATTTGCTCTACTGACATCTAACTCCTGGTTAGCTCACTTGGTAGAGCTTCCCACTGGAAATGGAGAGGTCCCTGGTTCGATACCAGAATTAGGGGGATTTTTTCGGTCGCGCACTAGTCACCTATAGCTGTGTTTGGAGATTTGTGTTTGTCCTTTGGATTCTTGTTCCCCTCTCCAGGGATTATTTTCGTCATTCTTATCCAGCTGGCTTGCACAAAAATGGGTTGTGTGTATGTTTAGACAGCCTGGAACTTGGTCTGCCTCAACGGGCGACGAGTCTCCAAGCTGTAGATGAGAAATTTAGCCAGTGCAGTACAACCGCTAGCCTGGGGTCTTTAACGTGCATCACGCAGTAGTGATACACGACCGCACGCCAGTTCGATGCTCATCCAGATCGAAACGGGCAGAGGTGGGGATTGAACCCAGGATTCTGGGTTCTGCAGCGCTAGGTTTCGCTCTACGTGCGCCGAGCTTGTGTGCGCTAGCCCACTCGGCCACCGATCACCCACGCTCGCTTGCAACTTTGCATGTAATTGCATTATCATCATAACCTTAAAAATACAAGCCGTTCACCCTTGCTGGTGTTAGACTGGTGGCAGCTGATAAAGCCCGTTTGCTCTACTGACGTCTAACTCCTGGTTAGCTCAGCTGGTAGAGCGTTCCACTGGAAATAGAGAGGTCCCTGGTTCGATACCAGGACCAGGCGGATTTTTTCGGTCGCGCAACAGTTACCTGGCTGTGTTTGGAGATTTCTGTTTTTCCTTTGTCCCCCTTGTTCCCCTTCTCCAGAGATTATTTTCGTTATTCTTGTTCAACTCGCTAGGACTTTTGCATTTAAGTGCATTATCATAATTAAAAATGTAATAAGAACCATTTTTAACCCTGGCAAGCGGGGAAACAGAGTTTCCCTATTCTGCTGAGTTGAAAAGAAATTGTGAAAGGAATGATGCAAATTGTTAGCTATAGAAACTATGTAAAGGCCGGTTCTCACATGCTGCGAAGCGCGGATGTAGCACTATTCACGTTTCGTCAGCTACTTATCGTCTGCCATGAGCAACAGTTTTGACGGTGCGATACAAAGCTGGTGAACGCTCGCGCCAACACGCGCTTAGCG